ATAAAGAAGTTCTTGCATAGTTGACCAGGCTGAGCTGGAACTTGCCCCAGCCTCCTTGAGTTCTGGGATTACTTACTTGTGTGATATACCAGACCTTGACAAGACTTTTATTTCTAATCACAGAATTAAAGATGACCAAAAAATAAATCTATATAGAGAATTATATTTCTAATAACCTTTCAAGGATATTACATGTATCAAAATCATAAAAAAATCCTAAAGGCTGAAAAATTAGATATGAAATCCAAAAGGAACTATGGAAGGAGAAATGACAACAGAAAAGAAAATATTAAAGAAAGTTAAAATATGCCAAATCACTTTTTATGAAATATGGATGACAGTGGAGATTTCCAAATGAACTCCATAAAATGATATAGCATTGCTATAAGCTGTACATATTGAATTCTAGTAGTGTATTTTAATTTTTTTCCTTTAAAGACAACCTACAACACTTATTAGTACTGTTATTTATATATTGATAACTGTTACCACAAGCCAAGATAAGTAAAGTTATATATAAAGTCAATCTTTATATCTAAATCTGTTCAGTTTTTTAAAATTATTAACATTTGCGAGAACTACGCTTACACTTAGATATCTTTTAAGCACCTAATAATGCTGAAGCTCATTTTAAGAATAACATCTACTCAAACACTGTTTCATTGTGGCTGTCTTTTTATTTCAAACACCCAGAAGATATAAAACCTGAAGGAATCTAGGCATGTTTACTATTGAGACATCTGCTATCTGTATGTACAATAAGTGGCTATAAAGGAGGTGACCAATTATAATCCCATCCAGCTCTCCTACCCTAGAATTATGATGCCAGTGCTTACCAGATTCATAGCTTTCACTCACTTTCTCACTACACTGGTGCAAGCCTCAGGTCATTTTCTGCCAGAACAATTAATTTGACACGTAAGAACAACAAAATAAAATAATCCATTTTAACATTTTTCACAATTCAGGTGGGGCAAGCCTTCTGTGTTCACAGCAGAGATCTGTGCCACCCTGTGGAAGGAGGGCTCTGTTTTCCTTTAGAGGTGACACCTTGAATACCTCAGTCTGCAGTGTTTGTGTTGCTTTTGATCCCACAGCAGATCCCAGGAACCCAAACTCTGATTTCTAAATCTCCCCAGAGAAAAATATATGTGAGCAATTAAATGGTTCCACCAAGGAGTTCATTAAACACCAAATTAAATGATGTAATATGTTTGCTTATTTTTTAAGAATAATGTAAAAAACATATTTTGGCTTTCCAAGTCATAGATCATATAGAAATTTGGGGTGTGATATTTGATTTCTCACATGTTTTAATGAACTCAAATAAATTTGTCAAACAGCTATCAGAATATTCCATGTAAAATGATGGAGGAATAAACTGGAAATAAGCAAAAATGTATTTAATGTGTTATAATTAGCAGATCTTGGGAGCCAAAATGTTTAGTAAAACTCATTATGAATGAATTTAATAAGTATGATATGTACTGTGACATATTTGCCTATTTTAAATTATACCCACCCAAGGTCAAGTTGTATGAGAAAATCTTCATCCAACAAATGTATTTATTCTGCAAATATTTTGTTCAAGACACCTGTCTAGGTACAAAACAAAGAATTGAATAAATTGAACTAAGCAATAATAATTTTATCAATTACAGAACAGTGAATGAGAGCAGGATGGAAAACAGCATAAGAAATTACATGGAGTTTTAAACACCCATGGCATGATTGGATGCTTGACAATGAGGTTTAGAAACAATGTGTTGCCTAATAAAGGTAAGTATGACTGAGTATGTATAGATATATTCATATATATGTATACATGTGTGTATATATATGTATATATATA